AGTGAAACATAAATTGAGATTTAAGGAGAGCAATAAGAAGAATAACAACAATGTATAAATAAATTTAAATACTATAGCATATCTAATATGTGTAAGTGTGATAGTATTATCATGTGTTCTACTGTCTATTGCATGCATACAAATCTAAGAAAAGGTTTTCAACATGTGAAGTTTGATTGTTAGTGATGATGTTATTAATGATATTTTGCTTTGGCATTCCAAGATATCTGATCATGTGTAAAATATCATTAGTTTGTCAAATCTTTAGTATTAGATGATGTCAATAATGATAATTCTTTAATGACATAGTTTTGATTCTCAATATAAATTGAGTTTTATCCATATATGTAAATACTGCTCAATGACATTTAGAGCATGTGCCTATAATTTAAGTTCATACATAATACAAAACAAATTTATGGATGAGGATTCATCCATTCATAGATTAATATAGTACAATATATTTAATATAATAATGCAACATACCAGATTTATACTCTTTAAAGTTCTGTCACGAATCCAAAATATGTAAGAAATCTTGTTGAGAATGCATCCTTTCTATATATTTAGAAAAAATAATATTAATTCTCCAATAACTTAAACATTAAAAAGTGCTATATATACCATCATTTATAAATTTTTTAAAAAAATTACATACAATATGATATATTATTGATAAATAAAATAGGGTATACACCAAACAGTTTTTAACCTTGGGTAGAGGTTATTCAAATAACCTTAGGCCCCTAGACCTCGAAACTACCCGAGGTCAAGCTCGAGCTAGCCACCTCGAGCAATTTCTGGCCTTGATGGGCCAAGGTTATTCAAATAACCTCAGGCTGCCAGACCCCAAAACTACCCGAGGTTGAGCTCGAGCTAGCCACCTTGGGCAGTTTCTGGCCTAGAGGGGCCAAGGTTATTCAAATAACCTCTGGTTGCTAGACCTCGAAACTACCCAAGATCGAGCTCGGGCTGGCCACCTCAGGCAATTTCTAGCTTAGAGGGGCTAAGGTTATTCAAATAACTTTGGGCCCCCAGACCCCAAAACTACTTGAGGTCGAATTTGAGCTAGCCACCTCAGGTAGTTTCTGACCTTGAGGGGCTGAGGTTATTCAAAAAACCTCAAGCCCCCACACCCTAAAACTGCCTAAAGTCAAGCTTGAGCTGGCGACCTTAGGTAGTTTTTGGCCTAGAGGGGCCGAGGTTATTCAAACAACTTTGGGCCCTTGCACCCCCAAACTACCCGAGGTCGAGCTTAGGCTAGCCACCTTGGGCAATTTTTGGCCTAGAGGGGCTGAGGTTATTCAAATAATCTTGGGCCCCCAGATCCCGAAACTGCCCGAGGTCCAACTTGGGCTCACCACCTCAGGTAGTTTTCGGCCTCAGGCAAGCCCGATAGTGCCACTAACATCATATTCAATCTTGTGGTTGAGTAGATTTGCAATATATTCCTAGGTATTGATTTGAAACTCTATTAGCTATGCAAGTCTTGATTGAGCTCTATTACCCACTAGATAGTATTATGATTGATTGCACAATAAATAATTGTTCTATAGTGGAGTTAGCATATGATTCGAGTAGATCAATATTTGCTATTGAAGAATATCATTTATTCAAACATTGGCTTAGAGCTACTTCTAACCTCAAGGTGGTGAATTATGTTTATTAAGATTTCAACACATATTTAATTTTGTTTTATAGATCATAGTCATCTTGAGTTTTTAGAGTTGGAGGTTTTAGAAATCTCCCAAAGTATACAAAAGCTATGGCTTAACAAATGCAAAGTGAGCGCAATCTCAATATAGAAGGAAGTATAAAAAAAAATGATATGTTGATGATGAGATAGACGAAAGTTAAATGAATTCTTACTTGAGAAGAAAATCCTGTCATATATCAGAATATTAGTAATAGTGTCAGTGTTAGTTGTCAATGTTAATATTATATTCCATAATTACAAATTGGTATTCTCACATGCAACCATCAGTTTGTAATGCTTGTGTGTTGCCATCTCATCCTTCAATATCTTGTCGACAATTATATATAAAGTGATAACACCATTTATGTAGCATTTGCAGCAGTGCTCAACAAAACTGTAAAATCCCATAAAAATGTTTTGACCCAAGAGAAAAAGGCATATTAGGCATCTTAGAATCAAACTGTCAATTTTTTTATTAATTCCCACTAAATCAAAAGTGAGCTTTTCTATGGATTAAGTGTAGTAGATTTCAACTTGAGGAAACTCCCCATTATTGACTTTGTCATCCACATCTAAAAAATGATATATTAGGTGGCAAGAGAGCCTATATATTTTCTTCTTTCCTAAATTGAACTTTAATACTTTGTGTGTGTGTGTGTATATATATAGTAAAAGGACAATATAATAGTATAGTAAAGCAATTCCAGATCTTACATTCAACTATAAGATAGCTTAAAAAACCCATATTCTACACTATCCAATACATTGTTTCCTAAGGGGATGTTGTTCCTCACCATTAAGCAATAGTGGGTATGTGTCCATAACTTGTTTTTGAATTTATTGCATATCCAAACATTTGTCTTGTGGAGAAGGGAGAAAAAGACAAGCTTGAGGATTCAAGCTTAGGAAAGTAAACTTGAGAGGTTCAAGGTTAGGACTGTATTCCTAACCTTGACGTGAACAGTAGCGACTATAAAAGTAGGACTTAGAATGTTTTTAGACAGATCCCTAATACAAAATACATTGCAATACATCGTCATTCTGCCTATCTCTTTGGCTATTCACAGCAATGTCTTACTTACCCACCGCCTTCAAGGGATCAAAGGCGTGGGACTAGCACCTTCAAGCACATGTTCACAGTCTCCACTTGGTTTTGCACAAGCAGGTAAGTGCATTCATTTTGTAGTGTAGTTTTAGATTTAAGGACTAGATTAGATTTGAATCTCCTAGGAAGATCTCGTGTGGACGTTTTACTCCCAGTCCAGAGAATCCAGGAGTTTTCACTGGCGACCACGGTGGGATGACGGTGACGTGAAGAGCTCATGGGATAGAGCAGATCAAGACGATCATTTTCCCCAAAACTTCAAGGAAAACGGACCAAAGACGCTCAAGAAAATGGCATAGGAAGAAAAAGCCCCAAAAATCAAGAAAAACAAGACCGTAAAACAAAAACAGTGGAAGAGCATGAAGGAATGAAGAAAAAAATGGAGCGTAAGACCAAAAGATGAAGAACACTTGAAGATTGAAGCCACCCAAGTCGTGGAAAACTTGGAGCGTACGTGTAACTGTTTTTGGCGAGAGGTTGAAGAAAGCAAATATTCCAAGAATCTACGATAAGGAAACGACCAAGGGAAAATTCTAGCGCCTGAAGATGGAGGAAGAATGAAAAAGCACGACTGCCCATTTGGAGACACAAGCTGTACAAGATACAAGGACTGCCTTTTGTGTGGATTCAGAAATTGTGCTAAACCATACAAGTAATGCTATTCAAAATGGCGATGCGACACTTGCAAACAAGCAAAAGCAAGACTGTGAATCAGGGATGACATTGCCGCAACGGAAGAGAGAAAGAAACGAGAAGAAATAGCCCACGAAAATGACACCAAAAAGAGTGACGATAGTTTAAAAAAAGAAGAAAAACAGAGCACTAGTTGCTTTCAAGAATTCAAAGAAACAGTCTTGCGACTATTACACAATTTGTCCAGCAAATTGAAAGAGCCAAAGGGGAGGAATGATAAAAGAGAATGAACAATCACCAAAATTTTGTAGCCCACATGAGGAGAGCGATAACAATGACGCAAAATGGAATTTTTGGGCTTGCACGAGAGACCAGCGAGATGAGGAAATCCCTCGATAGATGCAAGACTCTCAAAACTTTTTAGAAGCCATCAGGCAGCTGCCATCTGAAATTCAGGAATGAATCTTTAATTTAGTTCACAACACATTAGACAAGGAGAACTATACACCAATTTGCAACGGCGCTATCATACACGGCGCACAGTTTATAGCAAAACAAGATAAACAAGAATTGTATACGTGGAGAATCATCCTCGAGCTCTCGTGGAGATCTTTCGTGTACATCGATCAAGAATTTATTTGTCTCAAGGAAGAAGTTGAGTGGCATACTTGGGACATTATCACTCGAATTTACGAAGAAATTCCAAGGTTCCTGCTTAGAGAAATACAGGAAATACTTGGACAGCAATTTGTAAGAGGATTTATTACACTGGTTGGAAGCGCAATACATGAGCTTACTGACCTCAAGATAAAGGAAGGACTGTGGGCAAAAGAGCACTGGATAGATCCGCGCACGCATAGGCTTAAAGCAACAAAAATTTGTTGGAATCCATACCTTGACGTGTGGACACCATTTGAGAAGAAAAACATACAGGAATCACGAAGTTGGAAACCCATATCAATCGGAGAAGGAGAAGTGAGAACATTAAAAATACAACCACTGCTGTATTCAGCATTTTCAAATATTACTATCGACTGGGAAACACAAATGCTCATAGTGAGAGCTCGCATTCCCGTACGACCAACATATTGTAAGAGACCAAAACAATTATTCAAGAATTTAGAAAAGATTGGACTCCTAAAGAGAGTTGCAATCGTTTGCATACCTGCTCGATCCCAAAGTTGGAGAGCAGCACCAAATATTACTAGCGAACAGCTACACCGATCAATTTATGACACAACCGACCTCCTTCCAACAAACAAAATCATACTTACTTACACCACCAAATTTTTCAAATACAAGACCTTTCCTGAGCTAGACTCATGAAAGTGACCTCGAGAAGAAACTCGGGAAGAATCGAGAAACAAACACTCGATTGAAGACTCAAGACATAAGAGCTTGACTTCGCATTTATATAACAAAATACAAACCTGCAAAAGACTCAAGACATAAGAGCTTGACTTTGCAATCTATGAAAAACAACATTTGATTCAACACACTGTAGATGAATCACAAAATTCAGGAAGTTTACCTCGGCATTTAAGTCAAGAAGATTTAGAAAACTGAATGCACAAACATAAACCAGACCCAATCAAGATCCGGGAAAGAGATCTTCGACAAAAGACTCGAGAAGTAAGAAAGGAAGAGATAGAAAAGGAAAAGTTAGAAGAACAGCAACAACAAATCTTAGAAACAATATTAGAGAAGTACGACAAAGACGATAAACAAATTCAAGTACCCGAGTCAAGTAACTCGGCAGAAGACAAAGAAGAACCAAATATTGAAGACGTCCCAGAGTTTGAGCCGTTTGAAGAGGCAGAATTCACAGCACCAGAGTTTTACTCATATCCTAATTCACCAGAAGAACAACTTATCCAACAAAGTCTACAACAACAAATGGCAATCATCAACCCAGCGACAGCTATAGGGAACATGATTTCCTATCCCATTTTTACCGGTGGAAAAACCGAAGATGCGAACCAGCATCTCAAACAATTTGATCAAATTGTAAAGATGAACAAGCAAGAAATGCATCGAGAAATACTTTTCCCATACACACTTAAAGGAAAAGCCCTCGATTGGCACAACACACTCGATGATGCGATGACCCATGATGAAAAGATCACACAATTTAAAGAACAATTCCAGACTGGAGGAACTCAAGAAGAACACTATGAGATCATCAAGAACTTCAAACAAAAACCACGTGAAAGTATTCAAGATTACACTCGAAGATTTAAGTTCCATGCAAAGCGTTGCAAGGATTTGATAACGGAAAAAGGAAAAAACTTGTCCTATATACAAGGCCTTAAAGAAATCTATAGAAACATGGTAGCACTCGCTGCTGCAGCAGAGAATCCGGATGAAGAAAATGTCGATACACTCTCCAAAGAAATCTTGACATTAGAAAAACGATTTAAGCAATTCACAAAAGCGGGACCTTCACAAACCGATGATAGTTCAGATGATGAAGAAGAGGAAGAAATCTGCATCAAGACAAAGAAGAAACCATCAAAAAACCAAGACTTGAAGGAAATAATCAGGAAAATCTCACAAACCAAACTCAAGGAAGGAGTGTGGTGTACAAAGTGTAAAAATGAAGGACATACATATTTGGAATGCAAATTTCAGCTTCCAAAATGTCAAATTTGCTATAGAGAAGGCCATATAGCCAAGAATTGCCGATTTAGGAATACAATGGAAGTTTCAAGAATAGAGAATACTTCTTGTCGAGAGCCCAAACTTCGATATCAAGGAAACTGGAATCAAAATGCACGACCACCACGCAATGAACCTCCAAGATATAACAATTATTATCAACGTGATGATAATTTGTACAATCAAAGACAAAACTATTACCAGCGAGACAATAGCAACTACAATAGGATACCCCCTCAAGATCAAAGACCAAACAACTATTCTGGAAATTATGGAAGAAACTACAATACATATCAGCAACGTGATGGACCTCATGACAACTACCAATGTCCTCCCGCACAAAATTACAATTATGATCAAGAACCATATCGCAACTATAATCAAAGACCACCTCAAGCTCAAGGTTACAATTACAACCAGCGACCTGCACCACAACAAGATAATCGACCTCGACAACCTTACCAAAATGCAAATCGCAAGAATAAACAAGGAGTAAACAATCAGGCTCCGAGACCAAGACCACCAGCAGCACAGAATGTTGAGGTGGAAATTGACAAACCACAAACTTTTGAAGAACCAGCAATACAAACTATCACGAGACAACAATACAAGTATCAGCAACCAGATAATCTGGAAGAACAAGATTACAATGATGAAGTTGAAATTATCCCAGAAACCGAATGGAAGAAAAGCAAGAAAATACTTAAAGCAATTCAAGCTGAATTGCAAGCACAAGATCCAGAAACAATCAAAGAACACGACAAACAATCAAACAATCAAGAAACAAGAAGTTTTACCCAAGCGGAGCTGGCACCTGTTCAGCAGAAAGAAAAGTTTCATGTGGAAGAGCAAGCTGAAGCAAGGTTGAAGCAAAACCTGGTGGAAGATGAACAGCTTGATCAGATTGAGCAACCAGCAGAAGAAAACGAAGACTTGCAGTGGCTAAAGGTGTTTCAGATGCAGGAACTTGAGGTGGTGCTTCCGAAGTTTTGTGAGCAGACGGAGCAGAAGAAAAATTCAGTGCCAGAGTTTGACGTGGAACAGGCAGCAGCTGGTCAAGCTGGCTTGGAGCAGAAAGCTGTTGTGAAGAAGAAAGAAGAAGATGTTAGACAACAAAGAGGTGTAGAAGTTCAGAACCTTGTGGAGCAGCCATCAAGAGGAGCCATATACCCAGGCCAAAGTTTGCACTTGAACGTGGCTGGTTTGAAGTTGGTGAAGAGACGAGGAAGTGTGTTTCTCAGGTTCTGGTGGGACAGAGGCAAGCTGGTTTCATCCTTTGTAGCTCTGTAGGAGTAGAGGAAGTAAGTAGTAAAGGAGCAAAACTGAAAGCCGTCCAGGAGAAGTCGTGGCTATTTCAAGTCGGATGTTTAAAGTTTCGAGAAGAGGCGTTTGTGCAACTGATCTCGGGAAGAAGCTGGTCAAATTCAGATCACAAGACTTTGAGGAAGCAGCTCAGACTTATGAAGAGGAGGAAGAGGAGGAGGAGCCACATGAGGGAGCAGCTACCCACGATGCAGCAATGGAGCAGTGACTGCGGGACGCAGCACAAGGCAGTCGTGGGAGAGTGGAGAAGGGAGAAAAAGACAAGCTTGAGGATTCAAGCTTAGGAAAGTAAACTTGAGAGGTTCAAGGTTAGGACTGTATTCCTAACCTTGACGTGAACAGTAGCGACTATAAAAGTAGGACTTAGAATGTTTTTAGACAGATCCCTAATACAAAATACATTGCAATACATCGTCATTCTGCCTATCTCTTTGGCTATTCACAGCAATGTCTTACTTACCCACCGCCTTCAGGGATCAAAGGCGTGGGACTAGCACCTTCAAGCACATGTTCACAGTCTCCACTTGGTTTTGCACAAGCAGGTAAGTGCATTCATTTTGTAGTGTAGTTTTAGATTTAAGGACTAGATTAGATTTGAATCTCCTAGGAAGATCTCGTGTGGACGTTTTACTCCCAGTCCAGAGAATCCAGGAGTTTTCATCTTGTCCAAAAAAAAAGTAGCATATTAGACATTGAATATAATAACATTTTGTGCTTTTAAGTAGTCTTGCCATACCAAGAGCAAGAGCTTGCAAAAACATGTGGCATTACTCTTAAAGCATTAGAAGTAATCCCTCTCTAGTAACAATATTCAAAATTTTGTATATAGGGGGCTCTAGTTTGACTTCATAAGAACCCCTAATAGAAAGAGGATTATAATGTGGTTATAGTGGAGGTGAATGTGGAATGTTGGTAAACTTTAGGGATGGAGGTAGAGACTAATATAAGATGTTAAAAACCCAAGTACGAGTATATAAGCTTTTAAATTTGGACTTCCCAAGAGATCACCCAACTTAGTACTATTCAAACCCAAAGATGCTTAACCCTAAATATCCCAAAACCCTTAACTAATTGAAAAAAGGGGTGCACTTTTGTTTATAAGCCCTTTCTCTTTAAATTTGAACCCTTATAAATTGTCTCTCAAGTTATTCTCTTTGGTTTTTTACAATCCATTATATTTCTTTGCAAGTTCATGCCCTCATGAATGGAAGTTAAGAGCCCTATTCTCTTGACACCTACCCCTCGGGTCGAGCCCAACCGGAGCAAACTAGACCAATTAGATGTTAATTAACTTGTGGTATGATTCCCCTAACCAAACAACAGAGTCGGACTCAAGACCTCTCTGATACCAAATGTAACTCTTGAATTTGGATTTCCCAAAAGGTCACTTTATTTAAAAATCCCTTAACTGATTGGAGAAAAGAATGCATTCTTATTCATGAGCCCTTTTCCTCTATATTTAAACCCTTATAAATAAGTCATTCCTTTTAATTGCTTATAGAGTAGTAATGACTTTCCTTAGAACCATTTCTATATTAAACTTTTTAGCTTTCTAAGGAGTGTAAGGATAACAAAAATACTATAATGACTAACTTTTCTTAGATTTCATAATCATAGTCTACTTATAAAAAGAAGGGCTTCTAAAATTCTAGATACACATACTAGAATATTTATCATTCGAATGACCATCTATATATACTCTTTTCTACACTTGTGCCAACTTTCTAAAAAAAATAGACAATAGGGAAATATAAACTATATTATAGTAGTAGAGTATGCAAGCACGCAGGCCCACATGCATTCTCTTGTGTGAGATTACCTTTCTTTTGGAAATGTAGATAAACTTGATTCTTTGATATGATATCACTTTTGAGTCTTTTAAAAGATTTTGATCTTTATTATTATTATTCACAAATAACTCTCAAAAAATGATAGTGCGGATTCATCCCAAAAGTATACTTAGTCTTCTCATATAGGAGGATTGCATTGTAGGCAGGCATCTTGGACCCAATCTCAAATTTCAAACTCACTCTCAAACTTGGTCTTAGACTTGGTCTTCTCAAACTCGGTCTTAAATTTGGTCTCATAAATTACAAATGCCATAGAAAGCTCTATAAAGTAAATTTGATAGAATTTTTTTTCACTATATTCATTTCTTCATTTCTTTTATTCTAAACTATTGTTTTGGAAGTAATATGAGCATTTTTGTTAATAATGACAATGGCCTTTACATTCTCAAATGGGTAATAAGGACTATGAGTGTACTATAAAGATTGTGATAGTGAAACAAAATTAATATTCTCACATTAATTTGCCTTACAACTCTTACTTACAGATTTCTTATTTTACTTAAGAACAAATGAATGAATAGTATGTAAATATATATTGCCTTGACTAACATACACTATTAATAGCTACCCTTCAAAAGTTTTTATCTTGATTTATATTTATATTTTTTTAATGCATTGCAAGAAAATCAAAATATGATAATTGTAAAGATAGTCTTTAGTAAGAAAATAGATAAGTTCTCATGAACTTTATCTTTTCTAAATAACTCAATCTAGTAGAAACTTTTGATCTAGGTATTTATATATTTTAATATTTTAAAGTTTATTAGAACCTTAATTTTTTGAACATAGATTTTCTTCATAAGAGTTATAGTTGACTGCATTGACTTATATTGACTTATGATGAGTTGAGCTCAACTCAACTTTGAACCATCCCCAAAACCCAAAGCAATTATCTCCTATACTTTGGGGGGTTTGTTAAGTCTTTATAGGATAATAAAGGGAGGACTCCAAAGAAATTAATATGGCTAGGGAAGGTTATTGTAACTGAAGAATGTTATATCCATATGGTGGGTGATAATATGAACACTAAATCCAAGGCTAAAGTGAATATAAATGGACAAGTGAGATGACTTGGTAAAATGTTCAAGAGTTGACTTTAAATCTAAAAATACCTTTAATTCATGTACATTGTATAGTTACTCTCATTTTTAGATCACTTAGACCTTCTTAGGGTTCACCTTAAAGCCTATCCTTACCCATCATATGTCTAAGAAATTTTACCTTTTATCACATTTGTTCTGTTTAGTGTATAATTTATGTTCCTTTACTTTATCAAACACCTTTGTTAAATGTTTGATATGTTCTTTTAGTGTTTTATTATATATTAGGATGTCATCAATGTAGAAAATTATAAACTAATCCAAATAGGGTATAAGATTTGGTTTATAAGTGTCAAGAATGTTGCTAGCTCATTACATAGTTTAAAGAGCATCACTAAGAACTCAAAACTCCCATATCTTATTTAATTGATTGTCTTTTCAACATCTTCCTTTGTTAGTATCCTAATTTTATGTTTTAAATATGATTTATGGTATTGAAAGATACTTGTTAACTAATCCTTACAGACATTCTCTCTTTACTACCATAATAGTAGAAAATTAATACTGTTGGTTCCTTATACTCTTTTGGTCAAATGCATACATAATAACCAATTTCTCAATTAATTTGGGTGGAGACCAACAAATTATAACTATTTTTGTCATAGATGTAGAATCAAATTAGAAGTTGATCTAAGTTGGGGATAGAAATAACAAAAATACAAAATTCCTAAATATTATTAGTCAAGCACACTTGACATAGTTAGAGAAAGTTATTCATTAACTTGCACTTGCTAGTGTGAAAATCCATATAATATTAAGTTTAGTCTCTCAATAATATTATATGATAACTACTATATTCACTAGACACCCTCACTATCAGGTGAAGCATATTTACAAAATATAAAAAGTGTCTTAAACACTATTATGCTATTCCCATTTCAATTCACAATCTAGTGCCCTTTCATATTTAGTAAGTTTTTAAACTTGTCTTAGAGACTAACTATTGAGACTAGGGTGAAAGCCCAAAGCAAACTTTTATATACGAGGGTGTGGGATGTGAGGGTTCCAAATGTATAATAGGGATACTATTCAAAAGTATAGCTAACCACTTGAGATATTAGTTTAACTCTTATTAGGTTGTGTTACTTTCGAGAGAAAATGTGACTTTATTTAATAAGAGGTAAAGTTTATTGGGTATATAATGGGCAAGGATAGGCTTAAAATGGATTTTGAGAAAGTCCAAGAAATCTAAAAATGGAAATGACTATCAAATATATACAAATTAAGGGCACTCTTAGGACTATATAGGTACTATGTAAAGTTTATCAATCACTAGTCAAGAGCTACTTTAGTTTTAATGAACCAAATGGGAAATGGGAAAATGGTATAGACAGTGGAATATGAGAAGATATTTATCCACCTAAAAAAAAATTGAAAAAGGCTTCTATATTAGTGTTATCAAATTTTTGTAAAGACTTTGAGGTAAAAATAAATATTTTGGATTTTACAAATTTAACAAATGTGGTTTGCATATGAAGGAATTGTTTATAGTGATCAAAACGCTTATAGAGTGGTAACACTACTTTGGGAGACACTTTAATATATACATAGATAACATAGTAATAAAACACTTATTGTCACACTTGACTTTCATGGGAAATAGTGATAGAGGGTTAATGTTTTGGCCAAATTAGATTGTGACATCCTTTATAAACTTAGGAAGAACAATATTATAGTGGATGCTATAAGTCAGAAAGTAAATTTGAAGTTTAGTAGCATCTAGTGCAATAACAACCTTTTAAAATGATGTACAAATAACATATGAAGATAATGCACTAGGTATTGCTAAAGAACAATGTGGCATAAGATACTCATCAATAATGCAAGTTGCCAAGGGAAGAGGAAATTAATTATATAAAACACAATAGACTTATATAAGTGGACAAAAATGTATGTTCCAAAAAAGGAACTAAGGATGGTAACCTTTGAAAAGTGTCATAACAAACACCTAAGATGATAAGTTTATTGAAGAGAAAATATTACTAACTGAATATAATTAAGGATACACAAGATTATATAAAGACATGCCCAACATATTAATAACTGAAGGCTGTAACTAGTGAAGGCTTATTACAAAGCCTTTCAATCCTAGATCATCTACAGAAATGTCTCATAATGCATTTTATTACAAGACTCCCTCAAAATAAGGAGTTTAATGTTATATTTATGGTGGTAGATTAGTTTTTGAAAATAGTATATTTAATACCCATCATAACAAAAGTGGATGCAAAAAGTTATTCTTTGAATTAGTGGTTCAAATGTGGGGAAAGCCAAAAGAAATCTTCTTAGACTGAGATAAAATATTCAGTAGTAAAATCTAGAAAACTCTTCTAAAATAATATCACACAAAATTGAAATTTAGCACAATCTATCACCCACAAACAAGTATTGAGTATTAAATCTTTTTGACAAATGGATAAATGAAAAAAGTGAATAGACTTATAATATTATATTTTTGGACAAAACAAATTGGGCAAGTCATTTAAGACTTCTAAAAATGTGTTATAATTACTCACCACATTTGAGTATTAGTGTGAGTCCATAGAAAATTATCAATAAACAAGCCATTGACAGCTTTGGGGCACGGAGTACAAACTTTTTGAGAAGAGACATTTCCAAGATAACATAAGAGGTATGGAACTATAAGGAATAACAAACAAGTTGCATGTCAAAACAAAGTCCTTCAATTGGTAGGCCAAGTTTTGTGGTTATAGCAACTCTGGGCAGGACGTGCATGGCTTATGCTCCCTTCAACTCCTGGCAGAATTCTGTTTTTGGGTGACAGTTTGAAGGTGACTTTAGAAGGTGCGGCCTCTGCTAGATAAAACTTTGAATATACAAACACATTTGGTTTCTATGGTATCCTGTTCCAACCAGATTAGTGCTCTAATCTCGCAGCCAAAATGAGGCACAGATTGGTGTTGTGATTGAGGGTGTGCTTTGAGGAATTATGCAAGAAGTGAAAGGAAAGCTCATCTGTATAAGTTCCAGATCACATTTATGTTTTGGCATTGGATATGACTGTTTCCTAAGAGCGCTTTGTTTTTCGATAGTGAATTTTGTGAATCCAGTCGCAGGAAAAAAGATTGTCATGCTGGGATTGGAAAGAGGCCGAGAGAAGGGACTCCTCCATCGCCAATGCAGCTGGTCCAGATCGCTGGAGAGGAGATTGAGCTTGAGAGGAAGGTAGCGTGGCTGCTTGAGGCACGTCTGTTAGCTTTGGACTTGTGGTGGTTATCTTTCCACAATAATTTGGTATCAATATGACACGCAGCTGCTGTTAGGTCAAAATCATATTTTCAATAAAAATCATATAGCATGATTGTATTCATCAGCTTGAAGATAGACACTTCTAGAATCTTCACAATCGACTGGAGACGATCAAGCTTCTGCTGCTGCTCATTAGACAATGAGCCTGTTGTCGGTATAATAAGCAGCTGCAGTTTCAACCTTCTTAGTACAAACGCAGGGAGAGTAAAAGCCACCAACCTCTTTTTCATGCTCTAATCGGTGCTCGATCTGCCTGTGGAGATTGTAAGCTGCATGGTACATATCCTCCAGCACCACAGAAGAGAGCTTGCTGAAATCTACGTGCCACAAATAAAAAGTTCTTGCGGGGGCACGATCCCCAGCAGACTTTGGAACTTCCTGCGTATAGAAATATAGTAATGGGGGAGAAGAGAACAAACCTTACCTGTAGCTCAATGTAACGCTCCTTCATCAGCTGGTAAAGGAGCTGCCAGGCTTCCTTATCAGGTATCAAGCATTTCTCGGAAATCTGGTTAAAAGTCTTCACGTAAACTGGACGATGAGGAAAGAAAAACAAGAAAAAAGCTGACCGCTTTCTGTTCTGAGCCACCCTTCTTGCTGAGAAGCCTTAGAATCCTAGACGATGGCTTTCCAAACCTCTGTGATACTATAGACTCCACCTGTGAGCAATGTAAAACGAGGCGTTCTAATCATATCGTATGCGGCAATACCTCGGTTTTCCTGGCCAGTTCCACAATCTTCTGCATTGCTGCTTGGATCCAAAACTTAACGACGAATGCCATGGATAGCAAAAGAACGTACCAACTGTGTAGTGAGAACCGGCGTCTCCAACCGAGTTTATGAATCCTTCCTCCACCATTCTTTTAAGAGCGTTACGAACCACTGGGGCTGTCCAGTCCGACCTCAGTATAAGTATGTCGTTGAGGGTTAAAGCGTCTACAAGCTTCAGGGTAAATGCCGCGTAATTCTTCTAGACGATATGGAAATGATCTTACCTGAGAAGGCAGCCTTCACTGTCGTTTCAGTTTTTCTGGTTGCTTCGAGCATTGCTTCAACCACAGTCTTTGCGTCGGAACCAAAACTGAAATTTACATGGGACGCGCAAGCCTGAACTATCAAACAGAAGTGTGTCAAGAAGAATGAAGAAAATTTTACCAAACAGAATTTACCTACCTTATGTCTTAACAGCTTGACGCACTCCTCGAAGTTCACCCGCCATAGAACTTCTTTCTCGTCCATGGAACTTGAATCCCACAATGCTCCATGTTTTCGCTACGTATAATGCGACGTATTAAGATAGAACCAGGTCTGAAGAAAAAAGAAAAACCTTTTCGCTTGTAGAAGGGGTGGAAGCTGCAGCATCTTCGTCCATGATCCACCTCGAGGGACCTCTAAAACGCTCGGCCTCCATGGGAGCAGCCGCAGCAAGCACACGTCGCACTTGTGTTTCAAAATTAAGAGGAAGAGAACGTTTCTTCTGAGAGGAGAAACAAAGGAACAGAGTTGGAGGCACGCAAAAAGAGGTGAACTCACGCTGGAGCCGCGAGCCTTCTTCGCAGGACGTCCATCGCCGGCGTTATCAGAAAAGCCAAGCACAGCTTCCGGTCTCGGGCAGCGCTCCACAAGTTTATGTTGTAAAAGATTTGTGAACGCTTCCATGAATTGGGACTGAGCATCCTCTGCAAATCAAAAGTATGACTTTGTCTTGAGGAAGATTGTTTCCTTCTTTCCGCTAGAATTTACCTGAGTTGCTACATTCGGCATCACGCTTAATTAGTTGCTCCAGAGTTAATCGACCGTGCTGTAGCAAGCCCAGAGCCAGCTCCTCGGACTTTTTTTTAAAAAAAAGAAGAAGACAAAACCAGCATTTTAGCAAGAAAAGAGAACGAAAAAAAGAAAGACAACCTGATCATTTCCAGTCTTTTCACGTATAAGCTCCAGGAACAATGGAAAGCAGGCTCGAAGAACAACGTGATCCACAATAGCAGTGTAGCGCAATCGAGCTTCCAAGTTGTCTACAAAGAAAAAAAAAACTTTAAGAGGGAAAACTGTTCGATCTCTGCAAACCTTCGTCGAGGACCTTGAATGCCTGGACGCAATTGTGCTGGATCAAGACGAGCAGGCAGCTGGCGAGGTGCGGGCGAGCGAGGAGAGTGAAGCTGCCAATCTCAGGCAACGAAAGCTGCCCTCTAGAGATCAAACACTCGCACACGCTCTGCAAAAACACCCACCATTTCTCTATTCATCGATTCTATTTGCGCTGCGTTAGCATAGGATGAAACTTACATGGACAAGGTCCCCAAATTGATCCTTGATGAGGAAACACGCCAGCTTCCCCGCGTATCCAGCAGCCATGAACCACACCACAAACCCTAAACCCACATAAAACTTTACCCAAGAACCCTAATTTTCAGACTTGGCCAGATTCGAACCGGGGACCAGATTAAACCCTAAAACTCGGCGCCCACATTTAAAAGAAAGCCCAAGAACCCTAGCAGCCAGTAGTAGCATTTTTTCAGGGTTAAAGAGAAGCGTGCGCGCTCCACCTTGCCATCGATCGATTCGCTGGCTTGGCCCCGTGAGTGAGATTAACAGGAGATGGGTTTCAAGGGGACGAAGCAGGAGAAGAAAGAGGTCTATGACAGGAAAATGGTCGATCTGCTGGAGACCTACAGCAAGGCGCTGATTTGCGCGGCCGACAATGTTGGGTCGAATCAGCTGCAGCAAATCCGCAGGGGATTGAGGCCGGAATCGGTGGTTCTCATGGGGAAGAACACTCTCATGAAGCGGACGATCAGGACTTACGCCGAGAAGAGCGGCAACACGACTGTTCTCAGTCTCATGCCTCTTTTGGTGGTAAGGAGAATTTTTTTTCTTGAGAGAAAGCTTGCGATGGTTGCTCTTGGCAGGGAAATGTGGGACTTATCTTCACCAAAGGTGATCTCAAAGAAGTTCGCGAGGAAGTCGCGAAGTACAAGGTATGATCTTTGTACTTGCGGTATGAAAATCAAAACTTTGTTCCAGGTTGGAGCGCCTGCTCGTGTCGGACTTGTTGCCCCGATCGACGTGACCATTCCTCCTGGAAGCACTGGGCTTGATCCCTCGCAGACATCTTTCTTCCAGGTTCGACCAAAGAGGTGCTCTGTTTCTGTGGTTCATACTTGCAAACTTCCAGGTTCTCAACATTCCCACCAAGATCAACAAGGGAACTGTCGAGATCGTCTCGTCCGTGGAGCTCATCAAAAAGGGAGAGAAAGTTGGCTCCTCGGAGGCAGCTCTTCTCGCAAAGCTGGGCATAAGGCCATTCTCTTACGGGCTCGTCGTCCAGATGGTCTACGACGATGGCTCCGTCTTTGATCCCGCTGTTCTGGATCTCACCGAGGACGACCTCGTCGGTCGCTTTGCCGCTGGTGTCTCGGCAGTGGCGGCGCTGTCGCTGGCTATCGGCTATCCGACTCTAGCAGCAGCGTCGCACTACTTCCTCAACTCTTACAAGAACGTTCTTGCTGTGGCTCTTGCGACCGATTACTCGTACCCTCAGGCCGAGACCGTGAAGGAGTATCTCAAGGTTTGATCCTGCTTTCCTTCGTTGCTTTGTCAGTGTATGTAACGCTTTTCTTTGTTTCAGGATCCCAGTAAGTTTGCTGTGGCTGCCAGTGAAGCTCCGGCTGCGAGTGAAGCTCCGGCTGCCAAGGTTGAAGAAGAAACGAAAGCAGAGCCTGAAGAAGAATCTGATGATGACATGGGCTTAAGTCTTTTCGATTAGATTTCTTGTCAAAGCTTCTGAGAAGTGTTATTTGGTATTTTGTTTGCTTAATATTTGTTATTAAACTGCTACTTTGCAAGAGAAGGAAATCATGTTTTTTGATGTTTCAATGTCTAAAGATTAAAAAAAAAATTGTAGCTCTTGGATTAAGCACCCACAGTCTGCTCCAAATGAAACAGGTTCCATTCTTGCAGGACGGCGGACTGCAAAGCCTTGTGCTCGATTTCCTCGGGAGAAAATGTGGTGAGAGTGGACGGCTCTGCGGGCTGTATCCCTGGAAGCAGACTGTCATCGTCGCTCTTCACAGGCGGCGGCGCCAGCGTCACTTTGGGAAGCATTGACAACTCAATCGACCTCTTCAGCTTTTGAGCTTCCGATTCTTGAAGAGTTTCCTCAGAGACCACTTTCAGCTCCCCATCTGTTATGTCGTCCAGCCACTGCTGTAGATCCTCCGCAATATCATCCAGTACCGAAGCTGTAGAAGCTCTCAGGATGAACTTGCAGACCATAGTGTGCGAGTCGTCGCCAAGATCGACATTTGCGCTCACTTCGCTCGCGCCAAAGACCAGCATTCCTACGAAATCCCCGTACCACGTTTGAGCGGCATAGCAAAGCTGGCGAGAGATCAAACAAAGTTTTAGTACAGAACCGAAGACTAGAGAGAAAAGAAGAAAGAAAGCACCTGAAATCCAGCCATTGTACGAAGTATGTGGGAAGCAACTCGATGGAAAGGCTTTGACGACAAGGCCTTTAATCCCGCCAGAAATGGTGACTTCCAAGCGGCTCCGCCGTTCACTGTTTTCGGAACACCACCTTCGTATTTGTACGCTCCAGTGAACTCGAAAATTGCAGGAAGGCTGGGCCATAGCCGGAAGAACTCCACAGGTGAGCACTTGTGCGGAAGTAAAAGCTCCACCAGAGGTATCTTGTAAGGTTTGCATCTCAGGATAATCGGCTCTCCATAGTCCGGTTTGAGAGTCTTTCGAAGTCGGGGCCCCGAGGAAGTGTCATCTTCTCCAAAGTCAATTTCGTCGTGGCCCGATCCCGCACTTCCAGCATACGGATAATACAGCAGCTGCACGCACAGGGAGCACCGCTCAAATCTTGAGACGGAGACTGTGACGCTGGATTGAATGGGATCCTGCATTGTAGAGGAGACTTTTAGCAAAATAAAGCTCGAATGATCATGCACATACCTGGGAGGACAAGTTTAGCAGTTGTCGAACAGCCTGCAAGCTACCATCCATGAATCTCAAGGCTCCTACGAGTCCGACGCGAACGTCAACCCGGTTAAGCTCCAGCTCGGTCATATTAATCACCTGTACGAGAACCAATATGAGAACACGTAGAGAGAAGAAAGTTTTACCCATACCTTCAAGTGTAATGTTAAGCGTTTCTCGTGCGGATCGCTCAAGTGGTACGCTTCGGCATAACACGGATCGCTGCTGCCAGAGAGTGTTTGCGCGGCTGGAGGCGGCCTCAAAACCGACGGGCTTGTTTCCTTGCTGGCTAGCAGCGTCAGTTCACTCACGGCAGGTTTCCAAAGCTCCTGGACAGCCTTGTGAACTAAGTATTCCAGCTTCCTGTCTTGTGCAGCTGACGCTTCAAAGTATTGCACCGACAGCTTGTGATGGCTAAAGGGGTAGTCGCCAGTCGCAGCAGCAGTTCCTACCCACCTGCGAAAGCTCCAGACGATACGTCAAGTGTCCAGGCTTCAAACGAAACCATTACCTTGATTCCGGGTGCTTGGAGATGTACTTGAGGATCTGTAAGACAAGGCGGCATTGATGCTTGTTCACTGAATCAGCAAGAGTGCTGCTCCTGAAGTCCTCTAGCTCTTTTGCAAGACCCTGCGACGCTCTTGGATAGCGAGAACCCAGATGTTGAGCGCATAAGAGCATAGCTTGGACGTCCTGAGGGCGATTTGCAGCTGCACTGAGCGGGCTATCGACGTTGAAAAGAACCTTGTGCATGCTGGAAATAAGTATGTTGAGAGGATCTTCAGGATCATCAGCCAAAAGCGGATCCAGCCCATCCAAGTCAAAATGCTCCGCTAACGCCCATATCAGACGTGCTCGTATCCTTGGAGTCGCCACCTGAACAGGAAACATGTCAAGAGAGAAGGAGGAAGGAAACTTTGAGCTTTACCTCTGGTAGATCTTTTGCTAGTTGTCGTTGCAAAGTCTGGAGCCTCGTTTCGTTTAGTACTTGCTCTGGAGACGCTCCATCCTTGACCTTCTTCACTCCACCTCTGGTATCATAGACATGGCACAGCCTGACCAGCAACTTCAAGTAGCAATCCATGGCATACGTCCGGCCGTCACAGTCCCATCTCACGCAAGGACGGCAGACTTCCACAACTTCCAGCGCTGACTGAGTCCAACTGTGCATCTCGTGAGCGGTGCCGTAAGCTAGAGCTCCAAGCACCCGGCTTTCCGAGCGTGCTGTCTTGTCCTTTAGAAACGGCAGTGAGAGCTGGAAGCAGCTCTCCACCAGGCACGCGACCAGCTCCTCTCTGAACAAGCTGGAGCCGCTGCTGCTCGTAAGCTCTTCCTTGATCTTGGGATCTTCAAACAGCGACGCGATGTCCGTGCCTTGAGGCAGCTTCTGGCCCCTCCGAGCGCTCTCTTTCGCGAAAAGGTCCACAGAGAGAGCTGTCCGGCAGATGCAAGCCAAGGCGTGCATTCGATCGGCCTCGGCTCGCAGATTCCTGACCATCACCAGCAGCCGCTTGAACAAGGAGACTTGCATGTGAAGATCCAAAAGCTGGAGGTTCTCCACCACTGCTCTCACGATGCTCTCCCTGCCGGCATTGAAATCCTGACGGTCCCAGAGCGTGAGCAGCGACATGATGGAAGCCGAAGCCCACTCCGGCTTCCCACCGGGAACATCCGCCAGCGAGAGGAGATTGATCCCAACGTCGTAGACGAGCGACGGATCCAAGGACGACAGGAACGGCACCAAGTGAGACACCACGTCCGAAACTCCCAGGATCCTCTCGGCATTCACAAACTGCTTGTTGTCATCCCTGTAGCTAGAGAACCTCCCATCGTTTCCAAACAGCGCCTGCATCTCTTCCACCATCCCGGTGGCCACCGCCTTGATCGCGTACACGAGCGGAAAGATGGTGGCGCGGAAGCTCTCAAACGGAAGAACCCGCGAGCGAGCCATGAGCAAGTCTCGCTTCTCCCACACGAAAGTACACATCGACGCCACCCAGTGCGCACGAATCGCCACCGAGGCCTCGGTCGCGACGATGGTATCACCAGCCAGAGTGCTCATCCTCTTGCTCGAAAACTCAGAGAAGAGCCTCCCAATCCCTTCGAAAGCATAGCGGCACACCACGTCCGATGGATCCAGCATCTTGAGACCAATCTGGCTCCACCAAGTCGACACTCGATCCAGCACCGGTCCACTCGACTCGCAGAGCGTGACGATATCATCCCTGGCCAGCAAGCATCCCAGAGTTTCAATGCTGGCGTGCCTCAAATTCTCACTGTCACTGCCAATGCAGTTGGAGATCTCCTTGCTCGAGTCCGTGATGAACTTCCCGAGCCGCCAGGTCGGGATCGCGGCGAGGAAGGAGACCGCGGCGGCTGTCACGTCCGGATCCGGGAAATCAAAGTCGCTCTTGATGCCGCTACACACCGTCTCCCACTGATCAGCCGTGAGGCGCGTGGTGCGCACCAGATCGAAGGCCAGTTTCTTGCACACGGCGCTGGCGGGGCTGGCGATAATCTCCTCGCAGGCGGCCCTGGAGAGCGAGGAGATGTCCGTGCCCGAAGCCGCGAGCTGCAATGCCTGGAGGAGGGCCTGCGCCTGCCGCATTCCATCGTTGGAGCTCAGATCTGTTCGGATCAGCGAGAACTGGTGATCCATCACGGCGAGCGGCGCCAGATTCCTAGCCGCCGCCGCGCGAAATCCCTAGCCACGACTCACCTGATCGATCGGAGCTCCCGCATTCCACCAAGAGCCCTAATTCCTAGCCTAAAACATGCCAAGAAATTTCAAATAAAAATGGCACCGATTACTGTAACTAATGCGGTTTAATGCAGAAAACTCTTTCATATATTCTACTGAACTCTTCTTTTGCTCGAAGAACTTTTATAAGCTCTGAAAAAATAGTTGTAGCACAAGTAGTGTATACATCTGCAAATACAAAGTGGAACCCCCTTATCTTTGGGATACTAACCACTGCTTTGGAAGTCGTGTTCTATGGTCTAATCCTGGTGATTGCCTAATTGTGTAATGAAACCTTAACATGCACATTCTAGGTGAAGATCGGTCTTTGTACCAAGAGCTGTAATATTATATACAGTTACTAAAAGCTAAAGCAGGGAGGCACCCACCCCAACCGTTGAAAGCAATAAATGACCATGGATAAGTTTCTTACAATTCTGCTGGAAGGTGTGCTCCTTCCTCTAGCGTGAACAGCTATGATCTTGTGCTGGTCGTAAACACGTCCAACCATGGTTTCCACTAGTCCCTAAAATTGAAACCATTGTTGATCATGATGCTTTAAACTGGAAAAACTTACCACTAGCACAGGTACAACTATCCCAGATGGACACTGAGGCAATTATCAAATATGCATCATTTGGCTGTAAGTCAATCATATTTGAGTCAGTAACATTGCAATCACATACCAAGTCTTGCCTCGTTCAAGTGCACCCGGCATTGGGTCTGGAAATCCGTGTTCAGCATCCCAAAGAAGGAGTTCATGGTTGCTTGCAAGAAAGTGAGGCTTCCCAGCTCTCACGAGGAACACACGAGCTTCCAGGTGGTGTATACTTGATTGTTATGGATGATCACGACAGTTGTATAAAGCTTCGACGCCCATAAAGCCCAATGCAATTTGCTAACTTTCAGGGCAGCGATCATATCTTTGTCCGAAACAAATATAGAAAAGGATAATTTCAAAAGTAATCAACACCAATTCACTTCTCAAAAGCTGACATAACAGTTGCTGGGATGCCAAATGTTTCTTTTCCTTTAATGCTCCCAGTGCTTTCTATGGAACCCGGAACTCATATACCTCAGGATCTGTAAAGCATGTCAAGCTCACATCAGATAGATATTAGTAAGGAATGTTCACAAATACTCCTG